TAAACCTATAAGCAGTAGTCAGGAAATTGCTGATAGACATTTGGGTGACTCTCAACCATGAGAATCCCTCTGAGGGACTGGATCCCCTAGGAGATGTCACAGGCATAGGACAAACATGTTCCAGATTTGCCCCTCCCACACTAGATCACTAGAAATTATCAAGGAAGATGAGTCAACCCACCCAGACTGCCCCAGAACCTTGTGCTGGATGGAGGCATAGGCCTGGGCTGGGAGGAGGAGGTAGCTCTTGCCTCTCTTTGGTTTTGCACACGATGGGGCCTTCTTCCTAAAATGTCCATCATACCCCCAACTGCCTGGCAGCCCCCTCTCATCCCTTAGGCACAAATGTCAGGCAGGCACAAATGGCTCTTCCCATACTTCTCCTGATGCACCCACCCCATTTGGAACCCACAGTTTTCGTAATAGCATTTGCCTCAAAGTAACAAGCCTTATGTTCAGCCTCTTTGTGGGTGCCCCAGCACCTAGCACAGAGCTTGTTTGCCAAACAAATGCATAAGGCTCCCTAGAGAGGGGTTCAGAAAAGAGTAGAAGCCTTCTTCACCCAAGGGCAGTAGTAAGCACCTAGAGTGCTAAGAGACTCTTGGGTCCCGGCTTCACTCTTCTCCTCTGTAAAATGAGAGTTTTTTTGGTTTTTTGTTTTTCTTTTTTTTTTTCTTCTTTAAAATGAGAATTAAAGTACCTATTCTTTCCCCCTTGCAATTCTAGAAAGACCAAGAATTAATTCATTTACAACAAGTATTAAACCAGTATTGGGCTAGTCCCAAGAGTCCCTCAGGAAGGACAATACCCAGCACCTGTTCCCATGGAATATACAGATTGGGGGCACACTCTCCCACCTGGATACATGGGCACAGGCAGATGAAACCCCTCACACTGCCCCTCTCTGAGCCTCAGTCTCCTTCTATGTAAAATGAAGATAATACCCTCTTCTCAGGATTATTGTAAGGATGAGAGAAATATCTATAAAGTAACAAAGCTAATGGCTACTGCCGTTGCTGCCGCTATGACTGCCATTATTTTTACTCTTACTGTTATTCCACTCTTTGCAACTTAAAAATTGCTTTCATAACCATTAACTTATTTCATCTTCATGTGGGGCTGACACAGCATGTGTGACTATTCCCATTTTATAGATGAAGAAACTAAGGCTTTAAAATAGTAAGTATTTTATTCAAAGTCAATCAACTAGTAAGTGACAGAGGCAGGACTGTAAGCTAGATCGTGTGACTCCTACCCGCTCCACCACTGCACCCTGTAGATGAATGCAGACCAGAGAATACAGACCTGTGAGTTAACGGGGTAAATGTGGTGTGGTGGAGTTAATGGAAAAGAGTTGTTTAAGCTGAACTTTGAGGTGGTCCAGTAGTGACAGACGTGGCCAGAAGGCAGAACACAAGCAAGGCAGGCACTGCACAGCATGTGGGGAGGCAGAGGAGCCTGGTCGGCACTTGCAGAGATGGGAATGGCCAGAAAGGAGGCCGAGCTGCCTGTGCAGAGGGTCTTGATACCGTCTCAAGCCCAGAACGGTGGTCAGAGGAGGGTCTGGGGACAGGGGCTTCTGAGGCCCTATGTTGAATGGCTGAGCAGGCCAGATTGAAAGACCACAGGGGGAACTTTTTCCAGGTGAGGCAAGGGTATGAGGAGGTACTCTGGCATCTGAAAGTCAGCAGGGGAGAGCTCACTGCTTCCTGTTAGCTCCTAAAGTACAGGCTAAAGAGTCGGCCACATTAAAGCCCAGGTTCTTCATTTATGCACCTGTGTAACCTTGAGCAGGTTACCTAACTTCTTTGTACATATCTCCTCATCCATAAAACGGGAATCAAGTTCCTCTGCTCTGCTTACTTCATACGATCATAACAAGGCTGAAATGAAATTATGTCCACAGAATTTCTTAATAGACTATGAAGTGCCACAGAGTAAGTTGTGTGTTTGCTGGTCCACATTGAGAGCACTAACACCTATGGCCACATCCTACATGGGCCCATCCAGGTCTCTATCTGTGCCAGCCTCTACCGGGGCCTGACAGGAGCCTCAAGGCTCCCAGCATCGGTCCTCAGCCACCCTGCCAGCCCCACACACTGGGGCCCGTTCTCCAGTCCTTCCTAGTGGCCTCCATTTTTCATTCTGTCGGACTCCATCTGCTTGGCCGTTTTTCTCTTCTGTATTATTAGAAGTATCCAGAGTTGTAATTGTTTAATGGTTGGCATTTCGCCTGTTTCATGGGGGGCCCACATCAAGCCCACCCCAGACTCATGTCCTAGATCTGGCAGAATTGACCAGAGACAGCTGTGCAGTGGAGTCTGCCTGGCATTATAAAGAGCTCTCTCCCAGGTGCATTATTAGAAAAGAAGGGGGGAAGATGGCCCCAGGCATAATTCAATTCCACATTCTCCATGGTGTTTTTTGTACTGCACAGCCCAGCAGTGTGCAGCTCTTGGTCGGCTGGGATGCTACTCTGAAAGAAAAGCCAAGATCAGAACCTCAGGTACATGATACCCTGGGGAACCCAATTCCCCCCAGGCCACCTGGGGGGATGCCTGGATACACACGCCTCTCTCAGAATCCCACAAAGCCTGAACACCATTCATGCTCAGCTTCTACCCAACCTAGATTCTCAGTTTAGCCAACTTTTAGAAGAATGTGGCTCCTTTCACATGGGCTGTCTCTCACCCCCACCCCAACACACATAAACACATGTCCAGACACAGTGTTCACAACAGTGTAGCCTTTGCCATTTTAATACCTTCACTTCCCCAAATACCCCCACCCCAGCTCCCTGTTACTCTCAGGACACCGGGGACTCCCTCCTCAGCCAGGCTTGGACTTCTCCCTCTTCATCCCCAGCGTTCAGCTACCTGAAAGTCTGTGGGTTCCCCTTATAACCAACCCTTCCAGAGAACCTGGGCTAATTAGCTTAGCGAAGAGCTGGATTCTAGCCCAAGGGAAATGTTAGACTGAGTGTTTTCCCAATCCTCTTCCAAGATTCTTAGGATCTTCTGGGCAGGCCCAAGTGGCTAGTCTGATGTCCTTGAGGTTGCACAGCTTCCAGTCTGTTTCTGCCGAGGCCAGAACCAGACAAACAGTAGTACCTTAGATAGCAACATTAGAGATTGAGGTAAGAAAGACCGCAAGCATGGAGCTGAACTCCTAAGACAAATAAATATTCCAGACCTTCATAATCTGATCCCACCTACCACTGCTCTTGTTCATTCCTGTCTCTGCACCTCTATCGTGGCTACCTTTGCCTCTCCAAATCCTGCCCAGCCTCTGTGATCCATCTTCAGTTCCACCTCTTCCAGAGAGCCTTCCCTGACCTCTGCAGTCACTTTGAAACCCAGCCACATAGTATATAGTATTAATATTTAGGATTTTGGCACCTCAAAACTAGCAGACACATCCCTAAGATTGTCAGCTTTCTTGATTGACTAGGGTTCCAGGCCTATATCCCTGACTTATATCCCTTTGCTGATCTCCCCCAACACTCTGGAGACCAGACCAGACATGCTGTTTCATCTGCAGACTGAGCTTGACATTACACAGTGCTCTGTCTCCTTCCTGCTTCTTACTGCCATGCTTCCATTAATGTTACCCAAATTGTTACTCACTTTAAGCAGCCTCATGTGATTTTAAAAAAGAAGACAGGTTTAGAGAGAGAAGCAACTCTACCATCTACTAATTGTGTGACTTGGGCAAGCCTCAGTTTCCTGTTCGGTATAATGGAGTTGAGAATAATACTTTCCTTTCAGGGTGTTTGTATGGGTCTTGAATAAATACATTGTTGGTGAATTTTCCAATTGTGTGTAGCGCACAGCATGATCAATAAATGATTCTTCTTATTGTTCTGCCTCACTCCGCCCCCTGTTCTTATTTTTTTTATTTTTAGAGATAGGATCTCACTCTAAGCTGATTGCAGTGGTGCCTTCATAGCTCACTGCAGCTTTAAACTCCTGGGCTCAAGCAGTCCTCCTTCCTCAGTCTTCTGAGTAGCTGGGACTACAGGCACACACCTCACACCCAGCTAATTTTTAAAAAAATTTTTTTAGAGACAGGGTCTCACTATGTTGCCCAGGCTGGTCTTGAACTCCTGGCCTCAAGCGATCCTTCTCCTTGGCCTGCCTAGTTGTTGGGACTATACATGTGAGCCACTGTGCCAGCTTTACCCCCTGCTCTTATACTTGAGTGATGCTTCTGTGCCTGATTCTCCCACTCTGTAGTTAAGCACTTAGTTTTCTCACCTTGAATGGTTAGCCCTTGATTACATACTTCCTCTTAAAGAGGAGAGGTCAAGTCTTGCTGTAGCAGAGTTGAGCCCCCAAGGAAACTAGTACAGCTCTGTCCCACTCCCCACACTCCCCCTCCTCCACCACTGGAGGCCATGGTAAGCAGGGATGCTAACCAAATGGCTTACCCGTTCCATGCCCCGAGCTGCACACTACCTTTGATTGGTTTCCAGGAAACACATTTGGCTATGTTTCCACTTCCTGATGTAGACAGTAAACCAGACGTTCATTTCCCCAAATAGGAAAGAGTCCAGAGCCTACAACCCAGATCCCCAAGGCCCTGCCATGGGCTTCTGCCTCTCCTATTTGCATAGAAGGCAGGCCCACACTCCCACCAGTGATAAGTAGTTGGTAACCAGCGGGTGCTAAAGTTCCTCTTGAATTCTCCTTCACCAATCCCCCACCCCCTTCACCTCCATTCACCATCCACCCGCCTTTCAGTTTCCCTGGCAACGCTGAGTGCTCATCCTGGAAAACTTTATCCGAAATCTGCTCTGGGCAGCTTTCCAAATCCATGCTAACCTGATTAGGTGTCTCTAGGGGCCTTGCCAGCTAATCAGATTAGGCAGCACTAATGGTAGTGAGGACTTTGAGTGGGCGCAGAGCAGTAAAACATATTGTATACTTAGTGATAATTATCCTGCCTTTTGTGTCATTGATTTATCTGCCTCCCTCCCCATCTTGTGTGTTTGGCCGTAGCAATCCGGAGGAAGGAGAATGGCTGGTACGACGAAGAACACCCTCTGGTCTTCCTCTTCTTGGGATCTTCTGGAATAGGTAATTGGGAGCAGATCAGCCAGTGAGGAAAGAGAGCTGGGGGAGTGCCCAGCCCAAGCCTGACAGCGCCAGCTGCTGTGGGCCAGGGCCACACGACCCCCTCTAGTTCAACTCCCAGCTCCAAAAATAACTGCCTCCAAATTATAGAGCCCCCAAGAAAAGAGGGCTCTGTGTTTTTTATCATCTGTCATATTTATCAAGAGCTGGAGTTATGCTCCTCCCTCTGGAAGCTGTGGTGCAAGGACTAATTCACCTGGAGGACCAGGCCCTCCAGGACCCGTTAGCCCTGGTCCAGACACTCTGCATCCCTGGAACCTCCCTTTCGGGGACAACTGAAGCACCTCTTCTGGCCAGCACAGCAACCATATTCAGTACAGCCTAGCTTTAAAAAGCAAAAGAAGGCGCCCGATGACCAGCACAGTGCCAGGTGCATAGCAAAATTGGTTGCAGTAAAATAGGTTGGGTATTTTTCTAGCCAATTGGACTGGATTATCTGAGGCATTTTCACCCCCTCACTCTGTGCCCTCGCAGACCCCGCTCTCTTCCACCACCACCTCCCACCGTGGTCTTGATGGGAAATTTCATGGTTTAGTTGCCTCCTTTTCCCCTCCCAGCATCTTCATGGGCCTCTCCCTCAGATGTAAGGCCCCAAAAGTTTACCACCACCTGACCACAATACTATAGAACTTTAAAACTTCTATGCTAGACAGTGACTTCCAAAGGCTTTACCACCATACCAAATGGCCCTTCAGAGCCACCATTTCGGTATTGTCATTCCTTTATGTTATGAAGAAGGTCCGTAAAGCCAGTGAGAAGTACTCTCCCTCCCCTCCAAGCCTCTGGTTGGCATGGGGTGCCAAGGCCTGGCTGAATTGAATGATAGGACCATGAGCGTTGAGAGATACAGGGCAGTGAGCCAGGAGGTCAGGACACTCCTAGGAGAGGTGAGGTTTGTGCTGGACTTAAAGGACAAGTTGGCTCTGGATTATAAGAGTCAGCCTCTTACTCTTAGGATGCCGCTAGGGAGAAAAGGCTGCAGTCCCCATCCACAGAAAAATCAAGATGTAGTGCAGGCTTTTATTCTGATCCCAGCTTCACCACGAATTTCCTAGGTGACTCTGGGAGAGTCGCTGACCTTCTCTGAGCCTCAACGTTCCATCCATAGGATATATTAATATTCTTTCCAGCATTCATGCATTTCTAGTTTCTTGCATTCCAGCAGATAGTCATCTGGTCCTGACCCAACTCTTCTCCCTTCTTTCTTACTAGGAAAAACAGAGCTGGCCAAGCAGACAGCCAAATATATGCACAAAGATGCCAAAAAGGTAAGAGCTGGGACCTGGGCCTGATCCGCAAGCCAAGGAGACCAGGTATCCCCAAAAAATCTGAGCCTCTCAGAACTGGTCATAGCCAGTCAAAAAGATGGGCCCTGCCCAGGAAGCAGGCCTCAGCTCTGGCCCTAGCTTGGCCACCAGTTGCTCCAGGGATTTGGGCAAATTATCCCATCTTTTTGTGCCTTAGTTTTTTCATCTATGAAATAAAAATAATACTCCTTGCCCTGCCTGACTCTCGGGGCTTTGGAGAGAACCAAATGATACTCATCCACAAAACATTTTGAAGCATCTACCCTGTGCCAGGTGTTGTACAGGGATGCTGCTAATACAGCGTTTATTAGCTGTATTACCCCCTGCCCGAAGGAGCTCAGGCTGGAGAGGGAAGCAGCTTTGGAAACATACCCTACTGTCCAGTGAAGTCAACACTGTGCTACAGGGAGTCTCGGAGGCTGCAAGAGAAAACAAGTAGCAATAAGAGGATGCCTATATCTTCTCACCATCCTGCATGAGCTTTTAAACATGGTTTTTTGCTCCTTAAGCCTGCATGCTCATAGTCCTCCTTCCCCCATGGCTTAGAGTCCTGGATCTCCACAGGGGAGAGCCATCCCCATCCCCTATTTGTTTACCCTTGGGCTTTCCAAAGCTGCTCGGTTTGACTTTCTAGGCTGACAGGAAATGCTTTCATGCAAACAGCACAATCCTCAGGGAGAACACAGAAACATTTCAACAAAAGCCAAACCTTCTCCTACAAGCCTTCTCAGTGTTGAGGCTAAGGTCCCCCTGCCCATCGCTGGAGGTTGCCCAGATGCTCTTGCCTAGTTTCCATGAGGAGCCTCCCCAGCCAAGGTGATGAGGAGTTGCTTAGGCCTCTGCCAGCCAAGGGGCCCCAGAAGCACAGAGTTCTGGACTCCTGTTCTTCCACTGTCCTCTCTGCTCTCTGTCACCTCCCTGAGAGCCTGGCAGCCAAAGAAATAAGGTGGCTCAGACTCTGAGCCCACCCTCTGCCTGATAACTAACTGAAGGCTCTTAAGCCTCCCTGGCTCTTCTGCCAGGAGCTATGTTGTGCTTCAGCCAAACCTGGAGCAGACCCACCTGACAGGCAGGCAGGCAGGCAGGCAGGCAGGTAAGAAGTAGCGCCCGCCACTAATGTGCTCCGACTAGAATAGCATTTTTAAGACAATTCATCAGGTTAGCAGCGATTGAAACAATTAGCACTCTGGAAAGGGCCATAAACTAGCAGGACTATTAAGGAAGATGCAGTTACAGGCAGGAACCACCTGATTAGGGATGAAGAATTCTGAGTGGTTTAATTTTAATACTGTCAGAAAGGTTAATATTTAATTACAAATTATAATCTCCTTATCCAAGCTGTCTTCATATGTCTTCATACACAGTGGGAGTAGAAGGAAAGTATCTGCTGACTTGCTGGTATAGAAAGGAGAAGGAGCTTGTTAAAAGACTAATAATGCAAGTAATTTTTTAGTTGGCACATTTAAATGAGAGACAGATTTACAGCAGCGCAGGATGTCCTAAAGGCGTGATGATGGTGTCCTTCAACACTTCCCTCACCCAGAAGAAGGAAGTAACACCATCACCCCTTGGAGACAGTGGACTGTGGTGGGCAGAGCTGTAGAGCTGGCCATTCCTTGGCTCACATTCCAGTCTTTCTGCTTTCTACTGGCCCTAGGCAGGTTATTTTACCCCTCAAAGTTTCAGCTCTTTACCTTAAGGCAAAGCTATCCAATCCGTTATCTGAGGTTATCTTGAACAAGTGAGATAATAAGAGTCGCATCTGGCTCAGGATTGAGTACACAGTAAGTGCCTACTTCCTTGGCTTGTATTTATTCATTGCCTCATACTTTCCTCAGCAGCACCCCATCTACTCTCTTAATTGATCCTGTGAGGAAGATAGCCTAGATGCTAAATTAGATCCACTTTTCACATGAGAAAACTGAGACCTTACAGCACTAAGGGCCTTTATCCAAGGTCACTTGTTAGGGGAAGAAGTAAAACTAGAATCCAGTATGTCAGCTTCTCACTCCATACCATTGTTCTTGGAGACTAGGTTGTAAACTTGTCAGTTTGTCCCTGTTTCACATAGGGAGATGAGAGGCATAAGAATAAGTCCATGTATTTTATTTTTAAATCACAGGTGGTGCTTCTGTAAAACTTCTGTACCTGTACCAGCTCTGTGGGCCAACTCATTGCAGAATCTGTATTTAGCATACACATTTTCTGGCCATGTGACAGGCATGTTGGGACCTGCCTTCAAAATTCAAGAGAGTCTTAGACTTTGAGCTGTCTAACTAGTGCACCTGACACCTCCAGGACCTAAGGAGTGATGTATGGAGAGTGTCACATATAGGGCCCACTGTAAAATAGGTTCTTACCAAACAGCTCCCTTTCATTTGCCTGCCAGGATGGCTGATAAAGTGAAATGAGCACTGGCCTGGGAGTCCAGTGCCTTGAATTCTAGTTCTGGCTCTCTGATCCGTAGTATCCTCATTTGTAAAGACACACTAATAGCTCCAGACCTTGCTGCCTCACAGGCATTGTTTGCACATTTATGTACTTTCTTTATCAGATCTACCTGTGAACTTATTTTCTTCTCTCATTAGCCTGTATGCTCTTTCTCCCAAATTGAGCAGCTTTCATTACTAGAGTTAATAATCCTTGAGAAAGAACCTTAATGGTGTCCTGTGAACACATCTTGAGGTAGGATGGTGGAGCCCAAAAGACTTGCCATTATAGTGGTAGTAAGATGAAGGGATGAAGAACAGGTATCTGAGTCCAGCTGCCTGGGTTCAAACCCCAACTCCACCCTACTATGTGGAGTTGGCTGAAACCTTGTGTACATCTGTTTTCTCATCTGTAAAGTGGGTTCAATAACAATGCCTATCTCATTAGATTGTTAGGAAGGTTAAAGGAATTAATGATGTAAAATGTTAAACACCATTCATTCTTGGTACCTAGTAAACAATCAATACATATTGGACGTTACTGTTATTATTGTTGCCTCACTTTGTAAATAACCCCAGGCTAAGATCATGTGAAACCAAAATGATTCCAGCCAAGAAAATCAAGCCCAAAGACTTGTTCAAAGTTACATAGAAAATCGTTAGAGGCTGGGCGCGGTGGCTCATGCCTGTAATCCTATCACTCTGGGAGGCTGAGGCGGGTGGATCACTCAAGGTCAGGAGTTTGAGACCAGCCTGAGCAAGAGCGAGACCCCATCTCTACTAAAAAATAGAAAGAAATGATCTGGACAACTAAAAATACATATATAGAAAAAATTAGCCGGGCATGGTGGCGCATGCCTGTAGTCCCAGCTACTCGGGAGGCTGAGGCAGAAGGATTGCTTGAGCCCAGGAGTTTGAGGTTGCTGTGAGCTAGGCTGAAGCCATGACACTCTAGCCCGGGCAACAGAACAAGACTCAGTCTCAAAAAAAAAAAAAAAAAAGAAAAGAAAATCATTAGAAGAACTAGATGAGAACCCAGGTCACTTGACATAAGTAAGCACTAAAGTCTGTACTCCCTGTATCCTGGGACATTGATTGACATCTGGGCACAAAGCTCAGAATGCTTCAAGTAAAGACTGCCAAGAGCCCAGCTGATTGGCAGAAGGGAAATATGAGGTAGTGTAGCTTAATGGCTAAGAGCACAGACTTGGAGCCAGATTGCCAAGCTTGGGTCACCTTGGGCAAGTTACTTTAATCTATGATTTTGTTTTCTCATCTGTAAAGTGGGGGTGATAACAGTGATTACCTCATAGACTTGCACAAGTTCTAAGCCCCTCGTAGCTTGCTTAGAACATTGCCAGATGCATAGTAAGCACTCAGTGAATGTTAGCTATTGGTAATTAGAAACCCATCTTGTGGCTTATAGCCCATCGTTCCCTCTGGGCAACACTCCCTGCTTCCCCATGGCCATCCTCCCACCCTTCCTGAAGCCTGCGTATCTCTTGGCTGAGCTGCCTGGGGACCTTCTGGGAATAATGCTGGCTCATGCCCCATGCACTCCAATAGCAGTGCTTTCCCCCATCTGGCCTTAATAGCTGCTCTAGCCCTGTCTCTCCTCTTGGATCAGGTCCTCTCCTCAGGCCCTCATGAGGCAGGAAGAGGAGCCAAGAGCCTGTGTTACACAGGAACAGTGCAGGTCAAAAGGGGGCATGGCATGTCCATGGCCACACAGACAGGGGCAGAACCCCAGGGCTCTTCCTACTGAGTGAATTTTCTGGTCAGTGGCCAAGCTAACTACCTCCTCTGAGGATCTTGGCACTCTGTCATCCCCAGCTCTCAAGAGAAGCAGCATTTAGTGAGTGCTGTTCTTTAGGTGGAAGCACATGCCGGTAGGAGAGAAGCCCAGCAGGGATATGGGGAACCCTGGTCTGGCTGGGTAGACAGGGCACCTGTGAATGCCCTCATAACTCCCTAATCAGCTAATTCTTCATGAAAAGGAGTGGGCATTCCACATGTGCTAACTCTTTAACTCACACACTACAAGGCGTTCTCTTCCCCTGGGGCTAACCATGGCCCTTACCCCAGGGGGCCACTTCCTGGGAAATCACCTTTCAGCCCAGTGGTGGAGGGAGAAGGGCTGCAAGCTACGTTATGGCTATTTTTTTAATGAAATGAAGAAGTGTAAATAAATTAAAAGATGTATTCATTTTAAAGAAAACTAAACTGAAATGAACATGTACCCCATACAGACTTACACAGTCGCGGGGCACTATGGAACCATCTGGGTATTTATTGCTCATCGCAGTCCACACTGGGGGTGACTGACTTTGTCCATGTCTGCACCACTTGAAGGGGTGCTCCTCAAGGACAGAGACCAAGACTTGTTCCCTGCTGTAGCTCCAGTGCCTGGCACACACAGGATGCCCTCAGGAAATGTGGGATGGATGGGTAGGTAGATGATGTGGTAATCAGACCGGTAGAAGCCCACCTGAAAGAAGAGACATTCTGAATCAGATTTAGAAGGTCAGAGACATGATTTGCTTCTAGTAAGGTAGAGAATGAAGGATTCCTGTGGGAGATCAGTAGACAGAAAAAGAGACATGTCCTGAGAATGAGATAGAAGATCTTGGGTTGGTGTGGTCTGAAAGCCTTGGGAACAGTTGAGATGCTCTCCTCCTTAACCCTTCTTTCCACCTTCCTGCCTCCAAATCGACTTGGTGCCTGCTTGTTTCTACACAGGGCTTCATCAGGCTGGACATGTCTGAGTTCCAGGAGCGACATGAGGTGAGTAAGAGTCCTTGGTGAAGCATGGTTTGGAGGGCCTGTCAACATGACTGCCTTGGTATTTCATATGACTTGTCATTTGGGCCTTTGGGCCTCACATAATTCCAGCAGCCTTGGGATTTGTCCTTGGGAGCACAGGTGTGCAGCAGGGTTATTGATCTGTTGTGCATAGGATTTCTCTGAAGAGTAAACAGAGAGAAGATCTGTTTGCCCTCCCATCTCTCTGCCACACCAGGAGAGAGACAGTTGACCATCCTTGTTGAGACAGGCAGTCTTAATAGTATATAAAGCCATCTTCCCACACATGCCCCATATTGGAAACTGAAAGCACTGAAAGGCCTTCCTAGAATGTTTCCTTCCTTCCACTAGGTGGCCAAGTTTATTGGGTCCCCACCAGGCTACGTCGGCCATGAAGAGGGTGGCCAGCTGACCAAGAAGTTGAAACAGTGCCCCAATGCTGTGGTGCTCTTCGATGAAGTAGACAAGGCCCATCCAGATGTGCTCACTATCATGCTGCAGCTGTTTGATGAGGTGAGAGTCAGCTTGGACCAGGATGCAGTGGGAGGACACCTGGAGGTGTCGGGCTATGAATATCAGAAAGCGCGGGGCCAGAGGCTATCTGGTCATTCCTCAACTTGCTGCTCCCGCACGTGTGCATTCAGTCATTTAGCAGATGTGGGTGAGCCTCTCTCTGGACCAGGGCCCAGGTAGGGCACTCAAGGGAAGACCAGCACTGCCCAAGAGTTGAAATGTCATGGCTGCCCAGGCCACCTTCTAGAGAGACATAGTGGGGCAGAGGTGCCATGAGAAAGACACCTGAATTTTTAGTTCCAGCTCTACTCCTGACTGGCTTTGTGGCCTTGGCAAGTCACCATCTCTAGGCATCAGGGACATCACGTAACAAACAAGGAGGCTGGATCAGATAAGCTCTGAGAACCCTTCTGGTTCAAATAGCTCTTGTTCCTCCCTGTGTGTCAAACATTGTCCCCACCAGTTCTTACAAATGCTAATATTGTTGCTGCCATTGCTGATGATGAGATGGTAATACTCTGGCTCACAGAGCCCTTTCCTTCTGAGGAGCTCCAGGCTCCTCACAAACTGGACAGCCCTCCCCGCAGTAGGGGTAAGCTCTAAATGGAGAGAAGAACTTGCTTTCGTTCAGTACATTCTGTGTACTAGACCTGTACTAAAGACTTTATAGACATTATCACTAATAGTCAAGCAAGGTAGAAATTATCTCATTTTTTACAGATGAAGAAACTGAGGTTCAGATGGTTATAAATGATGTGCTCAGGGCCACAGAGCTACTGTGTAAGGAGCCAAGATTGGGCTACAGATATATCTGATCCCAGAGCCCCAGTTCTGCCCCTCCGTACCATTCACAGCCAGGTGAGGAATTGGTTATGGTCCTGGGAGAGGATGACCTCTGCATTTTCAGGGGCCTTGCCCTGTCAAAAAAACATGAGGAGCCAAGGGCTGAACCAGTGATGAGGCTTCTCTTCTCCTCCCATGCAGTGGCTACTTAGCCAGCGCCCTGCCAGATGGAGTCCAGCTCCTCTTTCTACTTAGCCCCTTCCAGCCCTGGGAAAATGGGAAAGTGGTTTGCTTCCCATGTCACATGAGGCACAGGGAGGGCCTCCCTCAGACCAAACAGCACATGAAGTACCAAACCAGGAAGACCCAGATCCAAATCTCCCCACGAGCTACCTGCTGCTTTCCCCACCTGGCCCAGCATTCTTACCCTGGCCCCTCAGCTACTCCCAGCCTCCTGGACCTCCTGCTGAGGAAGAAGAGGCCAGTCCTTCTGGGGTCACATATTCAGTTACTCACATGTGTACTCTGAGGCCTCCACTCCATGTCAGCCTCTTCACGGGATTCAGGTGGACAGCTACAGCCCAGACCCACACCTACCTTCTGGGAGCGCTCTGCCTAGTAGACAGGTGGAAAGGAGACATGGTCGTAGTTGGCATTTTGCACTTTATGTGCCATTCACTGTTCTAAGAAATTTACATATATCAACTCATTTAATCCTCTCAACAACTCTCCAAAGATAGTTATTATTACTGCCTCCGTTTAATAGATGTGGAAACTGAGGTAAAGTTAGATTAAGCGATTTGTCCGTGGTCACATAGCTAGGGAGGGAAAATTGAGGATTCGAACCCAGGTAGCCCAGTTCTAGAGTCTGCAGCTTAAATGACTGCCATGTAGCTAGGGCCAAAAGTGAGAGGTCAGTCTGCAGTGAAGCATTCAAAGGACAGGAGCACCCAGCTCAGGGAGAGTGAGCACAGCAGCCTATTTGACCTCTGCACCCCGGAGAGGTGCCCCTGATGGCATCCTTGGCCTAGAAAGAGGGAAGGCGACTGCTGACTGAAACAACCAGCCTCACCTGGAAGGTGCTTACAACCCACATGTGAGCCCTGTCCACCCTCCGCCGCCACCACTTCACTCCACTGACTGACTTTTAGGGAGTTGGTAGAAATTCCTGCAGCTGTTGTCATGCCCACCCCCACCTCCACCCCCACTGACAGTTTTTGATACTCTTGGTTCCATTGACCAAAGCTGCCGTCCGAGTTTACTTAGCCAGATTCATGCATATATGCTCCTTGAGGACAGGACCTTGTCACGTTCGCTCCAACCATTCCCAGAGCCTGCAAAGTCAGGAGAAATGCTCTGTTGACTAACTTAATTCAACAATAATTCAGCAGACCTTCCACAGATGAGTAAGTGCTAGATGACCAGAGTGGAAAAGGGCCAGCAGCAGAAAGCTAATGTGCAAAAGCACGGGGCCACGAAACAGCCCAGTACTCTCAGGGAACTGCAGCTGGTCAGTATCGCAGGGCAGCAGTGAGGACGGAGTGGCAGGGAGGAGGTGAGCGAGACAGACAGGGCCCAGTTAAAATGCCAGGCACAGCAGTATGGATTTCTCTGGCAGAGAGTAAAGAGCCTCTGAAAGCCTTTAAGCAAGGAAGAAACATGGTCAGATTTTCACCTGACAAAGCTCCCGTGGGCAGCTGTGTAGAGAGTGGACCAGGAGGGAGAAGGGGCCCCAGCAAGGAGACTGTTGGGGAGCCCAGGCTGTTGCTGGGCAGGCCGTGGGCTGGAGAAAACTACTAGGAGGTTGACTGTGAGGAGAGAGGGAGGAGCCAGCAGTGACCAGTGGCCCGATTTCTGGTCTGGGTGACCTGGCAGCTGCTGCGGCCATCAGCTGAGGCAGGGAACAGCAGGATGAGCAGCAGATGGGCAAGGAGGGTGAGGCACTGAGGTTTGGCCTTGTCGAAAGCGAGATACCTGCAGGACAGCCAGATGGAGATGTCCAAGCGGCTGTTCATCAGTTTTATGGGTCTGGAACTTAGGAAAGGTCTGGCTAAAGATAGCAATTCCAGAATCATTCAGCACAGAGGGGTTAGCCGAAGTCCCAGCAGTGGATGAGATCTCTCACCCAGGCAGAGAAGAAGAGAGGGCTACAAACGGAGCCTCAGGGACCCATCAGGGAAGAATCAAGAGGAAATCACTAGAGAGGTGGGAGGCAAACAGAATGTGGCCTATTTGTTTATTCATGAGGCACCGTGTGGGCAAGAAGGGGCACAGACAAAACAGACACAGTCCCCATCTCGATGTCATAAATGAGTGAGGGAGACAGGCAGCCAGAAGGCAGCTCAGTCCCCTGTGGTAGGTGCTGCACTAGGGATAAGTAGCAAGTGTCAGGAGCTGTGAGGGCACCTAAACCAGGCTGGGGGTGTGAGGGAAGTCCCCCATTCGCACCCAGCCCAGTTCTCCCAAGCCTGGGCCTTGAAAAGCAAGAACCCTATCACAGTCACCATAATACCAAGTAGGACTAATGTCTGGATTGCACAGCTGACGGCCCAGGGCAAAAGTCCCAGGAAGAGACTGGTCCCCAGGGAGCCCACCCCCTTCTCCCTTCGAGGATTCATACTTGAGACAGTGAGAGAGTAGCCCTGTAACCATGGGGTGAGCATTCAAGCCCCACCCAGGATGTGCATGCTCTGGTTGTTGGTGGGAGGTGGGACAGGGACAGCTCCCTCTTTGGGACACCTCTTTATTGCCAAGGAAACTGAGGAGAAGGAGATATGAGCACTGAAAGTCACCCTTTGGGTCAGCCGTGCACTGCACCTGCTCCCCTCACTCACCCGGGACCCATCTTCAGGCCCAGTTATGAGCAGAGCTTTGATCTCTTAGAATGAAATTGCTGCTGGGTTATTGCTCTGGCCAGTACAGCAGTGTGTGAACTCAGTCCTTGGGGATGAGCTCTGCGAAGTGAGTGTGGAACATACACAGTGTTATATGTACATGCTTGGACATGTCACACACACAGACCTGGTCCCCAAAACTAAAATTGCTCTCAGTGGATTCTCTTGTATTAGAACCCATTAGCAGGGGGTGAGAGAGAAAAGCTGATGGCAAAAGCTCAGGAACATCCACTTGCACCCTTGCTTCTCCTTTTCCCACCCCAAGGCAGGGACAGAAGAGTGACCAGCTCTAGGACCACGATCACCAGGCCCCTTGTGAATAGAAGACCACTTTGGGCGAGGCGTGGTGGCTCATGCCTGTAATCCTAGCACTCTGGGAGGCCGAGGTGGGCGGATTGTTTGAGCTTAGGAGTTCGAAACCAGCCTGAGCAAGAGCAAGACCCCATCTCTACTAAAAATAGAAAGAAATTAATTGGACAACTAAAAATATATAGAAAAAATTAGCCAGGCATGGTGGCGCATGCCTGTAGTCCCAGCTACTCGGGAGGCTGAGGCAGAAGGATTGCTTGAGCCCAGGAGTGTGAGGTTGCTGTGAGCTAGGCTGATGCCATGGCACTCACTCTAGCCCAGGCAAAAGAGTGAGACTCTGTCTCAAAAAAAAAAAAAAAAGAAGACCACTTTGGGCCTAATACTTTCTCAGAGGCCTGTGTCAAGGGCCTCTGTAAAACAAAGCTGGAATACATACCCAGCATGCAGTAGGTGCTCAGTTGATGCATATTCCTTTCTCCTTTGCCCCTAAGGGACAGAAGCAGGTTTGCCATTACACTGGCTTTAGAAGCAAGGACTGACCCTGAGGCTGGGACAGGGCCCACCATTGCTGGCTAGGCAGGAGCCAGCAGGCTGAGGTCAGTGATCTGTCCCCAGAGCAATGTTTCCCAGGTTGGCAGGAGCTATGCTTTGTCTGCCTCCCAGAGGAAATTTCAGGCAGGTCTCCCTCTCCCTAGCACCTGTCCCAGATGCTTCTCTCCAGTAAGGATCAAAGGATGCAAACTGAATTTGGCAGAATTCTGAGAAAATTTCATCAAGGGGAAGAAAATGAGGTCTCATTTATCCAGCACCATTGGTATGACCTCTGTAGCCAGGTGCAGAGGGAAGGACATGGGCCCTAAGGTTAGACAGTTCAAGTCTCAGCTCCCCTGTATCCTAGCTGTGAAACATTGAACAAGTTACTGAGCCTCCCTGAGCCTCAGTTTCTTTGTAGGGGCCATAATTGCACCTACCTCTGAGAGTGGTGGTGAGGATTCAGGTATTCAGCAAGCAGGTGGCAAACACCTACTCTGTGCCAGACAGTGTTCTAGGATGTGGTGATGAACAAGACCCAGTCTCTGCCCTTACGGAGCTACTTTCTGGTGACTGGAATGAAATAGTGCATGGAAAGCACTAAGCAGAACACCTGTAATGAAAGTAGAAGCGCCTTTCAGTGTTCATTGTTGCCACTCCATCACTTTCTCTCAACGCGTCCCTGATCATGGCTTTTGTTATAAATGACGAAAAGTGCTATTGTGCAGTGATACCCTTGAGGTTTGCCGAGTGGCTGGAGCTCTGTACCCTTGAACTGATTGGCCTCAGAATGCTATAGTGTTATAATTCTTCTGTCTCTTCTCTCTTCTCTTCCTGTTTGCTCCTTTTCTCTTCCTTTGGCACATCTGTCTCCAGTACAGATGCCTCCTTCTATGTCACTTCTAGAAAAAGCTAAAGATTCCAAGGAAACTTCCCAAGGTGGTCAAAGAAGGAACCTTATTTTCCATCCCTCTGTCAGGCCTGATGGCAGCGCCACAGATGTGGAGATCATACCTGTTTAAATTTATGATGTATCTGCAATGGTAATAATAGTTCTGAACATTTGCACAGGATAGTTTACCAAGGACCTTCACCAGTATGACCACATCTAGTCCTCACAATAGCCCTATAAAATACCCTCCTCTGAACTCCTGCAGCAGCTGTGCTTTCCTTTATCATCATACTTGACCTATGTTTCCTGGGTCTCACTGCTTCTCCAGATTAAGAGTATGTTGAAGGCTCAGTGAGTCCCCAGTGACCCCCAACACAGAGCCTGGCCCAGAGTGGGCCTCCAGGAAAGTGTGTTGGACAGATGGATGGGTGGGTAATGTAATTGACTTCTGAATACCAGGGATAGTTGGGTGCCCTGAGAGATGCCAGAGAGCAGGTACAGCCTCACCTGGAGGCACTCTCAGTAGCTGGAGCAGTTGCAGCCAGGGTGTGAGTCCAGCGCTCAGAGGACTCAGAGGAGGGAGCAGCTGACTGCTGGGGCTTGGAGGAGGAGGGCTGGAGCATTCTGGGGAGGCCTCCTGGACGAGGTGAGACTGAGAGTGCTAAAGCCTGCCCAGGCTATACAGTCCCTTTCCTTCCCAGGGTCGGCTGACAGATGGAAAAGGGAAGACGATTGACTGCAAGGATGCCATCTTCATCATGACCTCGAACGTGGCCAGTGATGAGATCGCACAGCACGCATTGCAGCTGAGGCAGGAAGCTTTGGAGATGAGCCGTAACCGTATTGCTGAAAACCTTGGTATGGTGGCTTACCTGAGCTCTCTGGGCTGATGACCAGGCCACCAGCCCATCTCCTGAGGGCAAGGATGGGATTTGGGGTGCTGGGCCCAGGGGAGGGTCCTACTAGGCAACTTTGTCCCTAGCTGACTCTGAGCAGACACCAGGCACCATACCAGAGAGTGGAGGGGGACAGAAAAACAGACAGTGCCCCTGCTTCCTCAAGAAAGCCCCAAGTCTGTTGGGTGATAGGAGGGTTCCAGACAGGGATGGACAGAGCTACACCAGGGTGAGGGGCCAGAAGGTGACCAGGGTCTTAGGGGACTAAAGAGATGCACACTCAACAGATAGAGGTGCTTTGGTGCAACGAGGGCACAGCAGGTCGAAAACTATATGGCAATGGACACAGCCTTTTCCACCCAGGGCAGCTTCCTGCATAGGTAGGCCCCAGAGAGTGCTACGAAGGAGGAGCACATCAGGTAGGAGGCTGTGTCTGTTCAGGATTGAACCTGCAGCCCCCTTCCTCCAGGTCAGAACTCAAGTCTTGCTCCTGATTCTTCTCCTCTCCTCTCCCTCCCTCACACGACTCCCACCCTAAGGAACCCCAGGCTTTGTGGTGCATGAGAGCTTCTAAGGGCCTCAGAAAGTATTCCTCAGGCAAGGAGACCGGGCCAAGGCCCAGAAAGCCTTAGACCTTGACCAGGATCACACAGACAGGGGCAGGAACAGGGCTCTTTTCATAGGTAGCGCTAAGCAGCAGGCACAGCCCCCTAAGCTAAGTGTGGGAAGTAAGCAGTTTATGATTCTCTCTCCACAGGGGATGTCCAGATTAGTGACAAAATCACCATCTCAAAGAACTTCAAGGAGAATGTGATTCGCCCCATCCTAAAAGTAAGAGGTCTTTCTTGGTACTTCCAGCTGGAGCCTAAGTTTGGGGGAGGGGGACTTTAGCCATCCTAAAGATATGGAAGCCCCCTCCCTTCCCCACTGGGGTCCAGTAATTCCCCTTTCCCCCTGTGAGTCACTGAGCTCACCTCATCCCTAACCTGGCCCTGCAGGCTCACTTCCGGAGGGATGAGTTTCTGGGACGGATCAATGAGATCGTCTACTTCCTCCCCTTCTGCCACTCGGAGCTCATTCAGTTAGTCAACAAGGAACTAAATTTCTGGGCCAAGAGGGTAAGAGGGAACTGCTTATGGGTGGGGACGGGACATCTGGCCACTGGAATTCTGGAGCACGGGACTGGGAACGCCCCCATCCCCCAAAAGGTGGAGCACAGCGGTATGGGGCCAATGGCCTTGGGGGTGCGCATCTCTCACAGTCCCAGGCCTCAGGGAAGAGTGGTGAGAGATGGAGAGCACTGGGCCCACATGCAGGCACGTTTCTGTCTGACCCGTCTCAGGCCAAGCAAAGGCACAATATCACACTGCTCTGGGACCGTGAGGTGGCAGACGTGTTGGTCGATGGCTACAACGTGCACTATGGCGCCCGCTCCATCAAACATGAGGTGAGCACAGAAGCCTGAGAGAAGTGAGCTACCTCCACACCTCCCTCCCCAATGCCCCCCAGACCCAATCCTTGGGCTTCCAGCGTGTCTCTCTACAGTTTGGCTACTAGAATTCACAGCCAGAGCAGGTGCCCCTTCAGAACGAAAAACACAAGATGATCAAGTAAAACCCCTGTCTGGAGGGTGGCCCAGAGAACCCTCCCCAGAGTGGGAAATGGCTGGGAGCATCAGAAAGTGACATCATCAAGCCTTTAGCACAATCCTACAAGCTGGTGTTGTTAGCCCCACTTTGCAAATGAGATAACCGAGGCTCAGAAAAGATCTCTGACTTGCCCTAGCAGTAAGTGATGGAGGCTGCCCACGCCAAGGCAGTGATGACCACTTCGCCTACCACCACTACAGGTAGAGCGCCGTGTGGTGAACCAGCTGGCGGCAGCCTACGAGCAGGACCTGCTGCCAGGGGGCTGTACTCTGCGCATCACTGTGGAGGACTCGGATAAGCAGCTACTGAAGAACCCAGAACTGCCCTCACCCCAGGCTGAGAAGCGGCTCCCCAAGTTGCGGCTGGAGATCATCGATAAGGACAGCAAGACCCGCAAACTGGACATCCAGGCACCCCTACACCCTGAGAAGGTGTGCTACACCATCTAGCATCTACCTCCTTGCCTATACGTGCCCTCAACATCCAATAAAGGCCCCTCGGCTATGGCATGGCAACTGACCTATCTTCCCCTCATGCCTCTCGCTCCTCTCTACCCAGCCTAAGGCCTGCTTACCTCCTCAGCCCCTGGAAGACCTCTCCTCAACCCCAAAGCCTGAAGCAGGAATTTTGCCCAAGCCCAGCCCCTTTATTAAGGGCTCATAATCTGCTAAGAAGTCTGCAGGGGAGGAGAGCTGCCTCTTCACCCCTTTAAGGCAAGGAGGAGGGAGGAGCCTTATCTCTAACTTTTAGCGTGTTCCCCATACCTCATAGTCACTGGAGCTATGTCATGTTCCCAGGAAGCTCAGAAATACGGCAGCTAAGAATAGATCAGGCTAGAAGAAGACAGGGACCAAGCTGTGACCTGCCACCCTCTGCTGGTCCTCGTATAATTCAGTCCCCAGAACGTATCCACTGGGAGTGGAGGAAGAATGCAGAGGCCTAGGCATAGATGGTTCTACAATTTAGTCTATAGCCACTTTGTTCCATGCCCTGAAATTCATGCCCTTCACCCAATAGACCCTGTCCCCTTTCCACTGCCTTATTATGCCTCCCTACCTTATGTCCTAGGGTCAGGCCAGACCATGTTTCTCCAGCCTTGAGGACTAGGTCAGTATAGGGCCCTTCTAGGAAGGGCCCCGACTGGTTCATTATCCTACCCTACTCTGTGACTGAACAGCAGTCCCAGATGACCAGGCAAGCTCAGCTCTGCGGGGGCCTCCTTAGGAGACTAACGCCATAGACTCTGGGAAGCTGTAGGGGAGAGATCACGGGGTCAGGCCTGCCCCTGTAGCCATGGAGTCTGCCTCAGCCCTGTCTGTACTGCTATACCAGTTAAATTAGCCTGGAACAAACATGCAATTTATACAGTCTGCATGTTAGTCACTAAGCAGAGGATCTAAACACCATCCCCCAAGGGCATTCAACGGGACAGCTGTGTTTCAGCCCAAGCTTGGTAAGGGCACAGCAAGTCCATAGCCTGGTGCAGCCTTGGGCACCATCTGCAGTAGCCACCAGTGATAACCACTCCATCCACCTTCCCCCGTAGGGCCTTTATGGAACCCTCCTGGGTGTTAGCTAGTCTCTTTCAGGTAGCAGAGAATGGGAGCAGGAATCAGAGTCCCCGGAGTGATGGAAGAGTGTCATACAGTGTGACGGGTATGAGGCAGTCAGAATCTAGGGTGTGGGCTCCAGCAGATGGCTCCAGCAGTCACTGTCCAGCCTCTCAGGAGCTGTGTCTGCTGCTCCCTACCTCAGTGACTGCTGTTCTTTCTGTCGTTGTCTTTTAGTTTTTGTTTTGAAATAACTTTAGACTTACAGAAAGTTGCAAAAATAGTAGAGAATTCCCATATACCCTTTACCCAGCTTCTAATATTAACATCTTATAAAACCATACTATAGTTACCAAAAGCAGGAAATTAACATTGATACAATACTACTAACTTATCTACAGACATTAGAATTTTGCCAGTTTTCCCTTTTTTCTGGTCCAAGATCCAACCCAGGATCCCACATTGCATTTTGTTGTCATGTTTCCTTTATCTCTGACAGCCTGTGGCAGCTTCTCCATCATTCTTTGTCTTTTGACACTTTTGAAGAGTCCAGGCCAATTATTTTGGATTTGTCTGATGTTTTTACATGATTACGTTGAAGGTCTACATTTTGGGCAAGATGACCACAGAAGTGATAATTGTGCCCTTCTTAGTGCCTCTGAGCAGGGGGTGGGGTTAACTTTCATCACATGGCTACGATGGTGTGTGTCAGGTTTCTCCACTGTAAAATTGTGAATTTAAGCTTTGAAGTTGATAATTTTCTGGGGAGATACTTTAAATCTGTGTCAATGTCTTATTTATCCTTCGAATTTTGCCTACTGATTTTAGCTTCCATCAGTGGTTCTTGCCTATAACAAGTATTAATGTTGTACTCGCCTGATGATGACTTTGTTTCCTTATTCTGTCTATATTTATTCATTGGTATTCTGCGGTATGGAAGAGCTGTCCCTTTTCTCCCATTTATTTATTTGATAACATATCATTGTGAACTACTGGATATTTGTTTTAGTCTATGGGTTATAATCTAACACTGACATAGTTTACTTTGTTGCTCAAATTGGCCTAGATTTGGCCATTGGCAACTCTTTCGAGTTTGCTCCTGTGTTGTTTCAGCGTTGCCCTCATCACTTTTTAAGCATTTCCTTACTTTCTGGCACCACAGGATGGTCCAGGCTTACTCACATTTTTCCTATCCCAGCTGTGACATCAGCCATTTCTCTAAGAAGCTCCCTGTTCCTTTTATTCCAGAAAAAAGGAACTTAGAAACCAAGTGATTTCTTGGCACTGAGAAACCAAGATCTGTACTCATTGCTACTGGAGTGTCATTGCTTCTAGTCCCTCTCAGCAGACAGAGCTAGGAAATATATATATGTTAATACATGCAGATACATGCATCTGAATTTATTATCATGTCTATCCATCTGTATATTATTGAAAACCATGAGTTTATATTGATACCTACGGTTCCAATTCACTACCATAGGGTTTCCAGCTGCCATTCTTATGACTCTACTATTCTTTTTTTTTTTCTTTTGAGTCAGGGTCTTGCTTTGTTTCCCAGGCTAGAGTGCAGTGGTGCCATCATAGCTCACAGCAACCTCAAACTCCTGGGCTCAAGCAATCCTCCTGCCTCAGCCTCCCAAGTAGCTAGGACTATAGGCTCATGGTACCACACCTGGCTAATTTTTCTATTTTTTGTAGAGACAGGGTCTCACTTTTGCTCAGGCTGATCTCAAACTCCTGGCCTCGAACAGTCTATCCACCTCGGCCTCCTAAAGTGCTAGGATTACAGGTGTGAGTCACTGCGCCTGGCCTGACTTTACTATTTTTTCTCCCCTGCTATCTCTGTTTCTTCTCCTTTCTCTCTGTTTGGTGTTCAGACTTCTCTTAGAGGCTTTAATTAAGTCAGTCAGTGACCATCTTCTATGCAATATTTCTACGGGATAAAGGTCTTATACCTGGCTTTCAATCCCTTGGTTTAATTAACCAAGGAACAACAGGCATATAACTCAAAACCAGAAAACTTTTATGCAAGAAAACCCAATAGCCACCTTCATGAGAGTAGGGTAGGGGACAGGGTAAGACCCTCAGATTCTGAGGAACTTAATTATAACTTAATTCTTTGCTAGACCTCTAATATTATGTTGGACTCATTATCTTACACTTTCGTAGCATCCTGGGCAATTCTCAGCTCACTTGCTCTACTTGTTCTGTGTCTTCATCAGTAGACTGTAAGCTCCAAGAGGGCAAATACCCAGCTGTTGAGCTCAATATTCTATTCATGGTACCTGGCACAATGCTACATGACGGATGCTCCAGGAATATTTGGACAGGTAGGTGGGACCTGCAGCAAGCACAGATCTTCACAGTGGGCCCTGGAACAACACAGTATCATTTGTTTGCTAAGCATACTTTGATTTGTCATGTTCTTGTGGCCAAGCAGTGAGACCCACCAGGACTGGAGCTCTGAGCAAATGGAGCAAGGCGAGACCCATATACCTTATTGAGGATCCCAGAATACATGAGGCTGGATTTGAAAGTGGAAATGTATCACCTTTATTGTTCAAAAAGAAAAACTCAGAGGTATGTGGTGATTTAGAAATTTAGGGAAGAAACACATTTAAATCCTAAGAAAAATGGACCAATAAAGATAAAAGCTGCACTGGGGCTCACGCCTGTAATCCTAGCATTCTGGAAGGCCGAGGCTGGTGGATCGTTTGAGCTCAGGAGTTCGAGACCAGCCTGAGCAAGAGCGAGACCCATCTCTACTAAAAATAGAAAGAAATTGACGAAACAACTAAAAATAGAAAAAATTAGCCCGGCATGGTGGCGCATGCCTGTAGTCCCAGCTACTTGGGAGGCTGAGGCAGGAGGATCGCTTGAGCCCAGGAGTTTGAGGTTGCTGTGAGCTAGGCTGACGCCATGGCACTCTAGCCCAGGCAAGAGAGTGAGACTCTGTCTCAAAAAAAAAAAAAAAAAGATAAAAGATACAGTTAACAAGGTAGAAAAAAAACACAAGAAAAAGTATAAATTAAAAAACAATTCTTTGAAAGCGCCAATAAAATAGATAAAACCAGCCAGGCACAGTGGCTCATGCCTGTAATCTCAGTGCTTTGGTAGGCCAAGGTGGGAGGATTGCTTGAGTCCAGGAGTTTGAGGTTTCAGTGAGCTATGATCACACCACTGCATTTTAGCCTGGGTGACAAAGTGAGAACCTGTCTCAAAAAAAAAAGGAAAAATAGATAGAATGTCCTGGGCCTGTTAAAGGAAAAAGGAGCCAAAAAAGGGGGAAAATACACTTTAAGATTAAGAATGAAAAATTAGACATAACCATATATGGGGAATAATTAAGAAGAATAATAGAAAAATTCTATGGCAACAAATTTAAAACCAGAGCAAATGGATAATTTCTTAGCAAATACTTATCCCAAGACATAGTTTGAATAGGCAAGTAGATTACCAGAGAAGAAATTGGAAAGGTGATTAAAATTTTAACCTTTTAAAAGATTGTGGCCGGGCACAATGGCTCACACCTGTAATCCCAGCACTTTGAGAGGCTGAGGCAGGAGGATCGCTTGAGGCCACGAGTTTGAGACCATCCTGGGCAATGTTAGTAAGACCCTGTCTCTACAAAAAATTTAAAAATTAGCTGGTTGTGGTGTCACACACCTGTACTCCCAGGTACTCAGGAGGCTAAGGCCAGGAGGATCACTTGAGCCCAGGCATTCAAGGCTGCAGTGAGCTATGATCGCATCACTGTCCTCCAGCCTAGGTGACAGGGCAAGACTGTGTCTCTAAAAAAAAGAAGATTATGTTCTTTTCATTAAACTTTTTAATTCAAATATATTTATGGAAAAGTGTATAAATCTGAAGTATATAACTCGGTGAATTATTACAAAGTGAACACATCCCTGTAGCCATCACTCAGCCCCCAAAATAGATGAGTTTTAACTTTTAACTATTAAATAA